CAAAATACCTGACCTCAGAACAGTCTGGTGATGGCATCAAAGCCAGCATCTTCGCCAGCCTCTTCACCAGCGTGGTAGACGAGAACCCAGAAGTTAAATGAAAGTTGGTTAGTTCTGCGAGTTCCTCATGTACTGAGGCTGTTAAGCCCTTGTCAAACGTTTGGCTGCAAGTATTTCCTCTGACTCTGTAGGCTGTGTCTCCACCCTGTCACTGTGTGGAAGCTTCTCAGTTTGGCTAGTTTGACGTAACCTCATTTGTCTGTTATCGCCTGTGCTTCTGGGGTCGTGACCAGATAGTCATTGCCTACACTGATGTCTTCACGTGTTCTCCTACACGTCCTGCCAGTAGGGTCATAGTCCCATCTTGCATGTAAGGCTTTGACCCATTTGAGTGGGCTTTTGTATGTGGTGGGCTGGAGGGCTCCGGTTGGCATTCTCCACATGTGGACCACCAGTTTTCTCAGCAGCATTCTTGAAGACGCTTTCCTTTCTGGCCCTTTGTCAAAAATCAGCTGGCTTTGGATATGTGGGTTTACAGTGGACCCTAACTCAACATCCAAAAGCCTATCAGTCCAACTTAAAATCAAGCAGATGATCTGAACAGGAGTATGATTCAGCTTTAAAAGAAGGCAGTCCCGTCATTTTCAGCACCATGGTCAAAATGAGGCCATGCCATTAAGTTAAAAGAAAGGTAAATACTGCGTGAGGCACACACGGGAGGCAACAGTTTTGGTTTCATGGGAGGAGACAGCAGAATAGTGGTCACTAAGACCTGGGGAGTTTGGGGCAGACAGCAGGTACCAGGACGAGTCGATCAAAGGAGTAAGTCCCAGAGCTCATACCACAGCTAGGGGGCTCCAACTCACAGCTGTGTAGTACAGATTTTATATAGAACTACAAAGGAAATGTTCAAAATTTCCTTAAAGAAATAAATGATAAATGTTTAAGGAGACAGAAATGCCAAATACCTTGATTAGTTCACTACCATTGTGCATATTATCAAATATTACACTACATTCCATACCTGTGTGCAGTTTTTTTACAATAAAATAATTTTGAGGGCTGGGGATTTAGCTCAGCAGTTCCGCTGCCTGCCTTGCAAGCGCAAGGACCCGAGTTTGATCCCCAGTACCCCCCCAAAATTTTTTTGAATGGAAACAGTCCTCAGAGACAATGCAATATTAATTTTAATGATGTATTTGTCTATTTTCCAAGTACTAAATTCAGTGACACAGCATGCTTGCTTGTACTCCAGCCTGCAATTCACTTAAAGTGGAGGACTCGTAACCAAAAGAGCAATTATCCTGTGAGGTGGGGAGGGAGGAAGAGGAAGGCTGAGGAGGACAGAAGGAGGCACTGAAGTCTTGCTGTGGGTGTGTGGTTGCTGCCTTTTTTGTCTCAGAAGGGATGCATCTCCATTTATCATATGTAAAGATCCAGAGAAGCCAGGTAACTATCCAGCTCTGGTGTCTTTACCACGAAATTGTATGAAAAGATTGTTTTAAACACTTAGACAGCAGTACACAAGATAACACTTGATTTATGTTGCAAGCCAGTCTCCATCTGTTAAAGTGGGCGGGGCTCCTCCCCTGACTTAATGCCGCGGAGGACTCTGGGAACGCTGGGGGCAAGAAGACACACACGCACAGCAGGAGCACAGGGGTGGGCGTCCCTTGCACTCCTAAGGGACACAGTAATCACTCAACATAACTAGTTTCTGACGAGGAAGGTGATAGGCATTTTGTAGTAGAGAAAAAGATTCTGAAAAAGTGCTGACACTAATGCTTCTGTTCACTTAGGGTGAAACTATTACTCCCAGTGTTCTGTGATTCTGCTCTCTGTTCCTCTTTTGCTGAATTATTTTTTAATTTTTGCTTTATTTGTAAATACACTCTCCTCTTGTTAGAATCAGTGAGGCCAAGAGCCTCCATAGCGTTCCATAGTTCCACCGCACTAACTCTAATGATAAAGATTAAAACAAAGAAAACCACGTCGTTATAGCTCAGGTAGACTGTGGGAAGAAAGAGCACTCCGTCCTAGTCCTGGCTGCCACTCCACCTCTCTTCTGTGAATGCCAGGTTCCTCCTGGAGTCCTTGCCTGGTAACAGGCAACCTTCAGCTTCTCTGGAGCAGCATGAGGCTGTGGGCTGTGACCACTGCTACCAGCACCTGGACCTAACCTGTCTCCTTCAGCCTCTCTTGAAGGCCAGTTTGTTTCCTCACCCCATGGTAGCCCTTGTTTTCAGGTCCCCTTTATGTCATGAGGGTCTAACTAATACTTTTGTACATGTATTTCCCCTCTGGATAATTTCAAGATTTTCCTTTTATCTTTGTTTTATGGAATTTTAGACAACTACCTAGGTATGACTGTCTTTATATTTTATATGCTCTTGCTTAGACTAGATTAGGTTTTTGGATCTGTACATTGTTTTTCATCAAATTAGGCAAGTATCTGGCTATTATCTTCTAAAAACAAACTTTTGTCCCAGTATCACCTGATCCTCCCTATGGGCTGCCTGTTACCTATATACTTGGGCATCTAGTATTGCCCACAGGTCTCTGCAGCTCTGCCCGTGGTCTTCTTCAGATTGGATTTCTTCTTCTGTCTCTAAGTCACCCCCCTTGCCTTGGCTGCCTGCTGTCGAGCCTATTCAGTGGCTTCTCACTGTTCCTGCACCATGACTTCTGAAAGTTCCATTTCCTTTCCATTTCTTTGCTCAGATTTCCAATCTTTTCACTTGCCAAGACTATGGTTTCCTTCAATTCTTTGAATGGGTTATAAAAGACACTTTAAAAATTGCCACGAACATCTGGGCATCGCATGGTGGGCTTCCATGGACAGAACTTTCTCTTGACTATGGGTCTCATTTCCATGTCTCTCAATATGTCTAGTGACTGACTTTTCTTCAACTTGACTTTGGACCTTGCAGTGTGCTGTGAAGGCTCCCGGTTCTGTGAGCTTCCTAAATTCAGTTCTGGCTGCTGTGAGAGCAGAGAGCTCAGTTAGGGGCCAGCCTGAGAAGCTGCTCCAACCTGGCTGGACTGGGCATCCATCTCACTGGGCATCCCTGAGGGTCGAGGCAGGGCTGGCGTTAGGTCTTAGAGGGACAGGGACAGAGCAGGCATCCGCTGACATGCAGTCCCACCCCCGAGGCAGTCTTTCTGGGGCTTCGTCAGGATGCCAGCACTAATGTATGATCTCGACCACTGCACGCTGGCAGGGCCAGGCTCCCACATGAAGGCCCTGCTCTGCCTCCAGGCATTCCCTGCCAGCTGCTCTCCAATCAGCCCAGCTTGTCCTGCCTTAGGCATGGACAGCCTTGTCCTCAGCCAGACTCGTGAGGGACCTGCAAGGACTCCAGCGCACTCTGGCTGAAGGGCCTTCTCTCCTCTGCCTGCCCTGCACACTCAGCTGCCTTGGGACCCAGCACTCTGGGTTTGGCTAACTCTGAGGGTTTGGCTAACACTGGACTCTATCCAGTGAGCACCACAGCCAGGAGTTGTCCCCAGGCTGAATCCGGGGCACAGGGCTCCCTGTTGTGTTTGCTGTCCGTGGCTGGAGTAGTCTCCTCGTGTCATTTGTCAGCTGTCCCCAAAGTCTGTAACTGGAAACCACTCCAGCTTGTCCAGAATGGAAGCCCTCACTCGTATGGGCCAGGAACCTCAGCCCTGTGAAGATTAGGGTACTTGGAGAAAACCGTTTCTAAAGGAAAACCACCCCAGAAATGACTCAGAGTTAAGACAATGACATATGCTACATGTTAAACACAGAGTGCAGGTAGCACACAGCCAGGAACTCCAGTCTGGGCTGCAGAAGGAACCTCCTACCTGCGAGACTGGAGAGATGCGCAGATGAAACACAGACAGGCAGCGGCAGGAGTGGAGAGAAGAGAAGAGGCTGGCAGGAGCCCAGGGTGGGGCACAGAAGGGTGGGGCCAGGGCTGGTCTCGGGAGCTCATGCGGCTCGCGTTCTTGCTTTACGTGGCTGGGACCAACGGAGAAACGAACTCAGGGTGGACTAAGCTCCGGAGGGTACTGACTCCAAGGCAGAGTCAGTGTCAAGGGAGAGAAGGATGAAGAGGCTGGGGTCAGGAAAGTGTTTTCAGTCACAAGGTACTACTTTTACACTGTTACTGAAAATATTTCCAGATCCTCATGCTGAGTGAGAAATGCTGGTCAGGCTACCGTTGTGGCTCAGTGGTCAAGCACTGCCCGGCATACATGGAGACCGGGGTGTGAGCCCCAGCATGGCAGAGTCATGTTTTAGGGCAGCCCTTTGGGTGGTCACCAGTGGCTTATTTCCAGCCACTCAAAATAGGCGATTTTTGCCTAATATAAATAAATATTGATTGTTCTGGTCAATTTTGGCCTCAATTATCTGGTGACTAAGATATTTTCTTCTGGCAAAAGACAATAAATATTCAGATGCATGTAGTACTTTTTCAAACTATTGCAAAAGGAGCTATGCTAATTAGAATGTTAAAGAGACTCTGGTACAGGAGAAGCAGGCGTCGTTTCTGTGTAAGAAGCCCAAATGACACAAACTGTCTTGTGTGTGTGTGTGTGTGTGTGTGTGTGTGTGTGTGTGTGTGTGTGTGTGTGTGTGTGTGTGTGTGTGTGTGTGTGTGTGTGTGTGTGTGTGTGCGTGCGCGTGCCGCAGCTACATGCCCATCGTGTGCACAGATAACCAAGCTTCAGTGTCACCTCACATATATTTTATTCATCTAAATTACTGAAAATAAAATGTATAGTATGATGTAATGCAACCATATATTGTGTACAGTTTGTATATAAAAAAGAAAGAATGATTAAAAGTCGATGAGAGACTGTTTATAAATCTTGATTGCTTCATAATTTTAACTTTGAGCAACATTTTTATCATAATTATAGGCTTTCTTAAAGCATTTATGCAGATTGTTGTTACTCAAAAGGGGGTTTATTCCATTTTGGTATAAACTACACTTTTTTTCTTTATGGAATCACTCTCTGAGTTCCTAATACCCAGTGCTCAGCCAGAGCCATGGAACTCACAGAGCAGGAAGCCCTTGTCAGCAGGGCGCTGTGCCCCTCGGCCTCTGGCGCCCTGCCCTTGGGGGGGTCCTCCCTGTGGTGGTTCCGACGGTGGTTCCGACGCATGTCACCCTGTGGAAGCCCCAGGCTCCTCTGTGAACACTCATGGGCCTGTGAGGCTGGTACATTTCCGTTCCCGATGCTCAGATCTAGCAACTGAACCCTAGAGGTTTAAACCTGCAAAAGGTTCTAGTGTTCAATCTGGAATCATAGCATTCTACCCAGAGAAGGATCGGACTCTGCTGAGAATACTGCTACTTTATTTCCAAGCCTGGAAAAGTAAGGTCCAACAAAGGTGAAGTCGCCTGTCCAGTGTCCAGACAGACATCTACCTACACTGAGCTCAGTGAGCAACAAGTCACTGAAATTCAGGCTGTTAGAGGCGCTAGCATCTTGTGAACTCATAGCCAGAAAAAAAAATGTTTTCTCCATGGAATCTTCACTTTCACTACATCATAGACCTAAGAGAAAAGAAAAGAAAGAAAACACATTACCTAAAACAAAGAAAAAAGTTTTAAGAAGTAGACCCCAGATGAAACACATGGGAGGACAAAGAGGAATTGTCTATAAAATGGCCCGCGGTATCCCCAAATCCCACCTGCAAATCTCCACATTCTGAGGGCAAAGACAACCCGCCCACTCACGGGTACATTTTCAAGGTCTAAATGGATCCCTGGGCCCTCCCAGGAGATCACCACATGTCTAATGGACAGAGGATGGATAGATGGACAGATGAAGATCTGATACAACAATAAGGAGTGAAACACTCAACTCCTGTTGTTTAGGAAGGAAGAAAGTGAATTCCAGTCATGCATGAGTTCAAGTGGAGGGATAGGTCTTTGCCATATGGGCGATAAGAAGTTTAAGGTTCAACCACAGTTTCCACATGAAGGCTAATGTGGACGCCAACAGCGTGGGATGATGCTGAGGGCTCTGAGACGCAAGCAGACGCCTCCCTGGAGCACAGGAAGTCCGCCTCGAGGGCCCCAGGCTAGGCCACAGAGGCCGCCGCTTGACCCTACTCCCTCCACTGTGCCTGAGCTGGGGGCCAGGTGCCGGGCCTGCTGGCAGACCACGGAGGAGGGGTGAGCTTGGGGTGACGGCCTCCTGGCGGTCACAGTAACCCAACGGTGTGGGCGTCACTGCCTTCCCTGGAGGGATGGAGTGACAGCGCAAGGCCATAAAGTGTGGCCAGTGGTCCTGCAGGCACCGAGCTGCCATCTCAACACTCAGCGCCTCCAGGCTCCCGGCACCGTGCCAAGACTGCCGGGTGAAGGCCAGCGGCCTGGTACAGGCTCTTGACATCAGCCAGGGGCCAGGCATAGATAGTATTGGGGGCTTTCCAAAGTTAGTTAACTTTTCAAATGAAATTTGCTTTAATTGTAGCTGACTGAGAAGGCCCTTTGAAGTTTACATTATAAAATACTATAATAATATATTCCATATATGCATTCATCAGCAGATTCCTCCTTTGGGAGACAAATATTCAAGGTCTTCTCCACTGACAGTATTTACCCACTTCCAGTAATGAAAGGTGTTTCTACGTTCAAGAACCAGAATCCAGGAACTCTTGGCCCTGTTCAGCTCTGACTCAGAGATGATTCTGACACACCGATTTCATTCCTGCTCAGTCCTTACTGCATCAGCCTTCCGTGTGGCCAGTGACTAGGGAGAATGGAGCAGAGAACAAAGGAGGAAGTTGAGTGCTTGTATAAGTGAAGACAGAAAGCAAGCAAACCAGTGACACTGATTATTTTATTGAGCGTCAATGGCTTCCACTTAAATCCTTGGGTGGCTTCATTGGGAAACTTGACCACAAGCAAACTCATTACCTCTCACAGTGAATAGGTAGCCAGAACTTAAATTTGGAGACTTTTCTGAGGGAGGGTAGATCCCAAGGACACAAAACTGTGCTCTGCATGGTAAGCAGTACCTCATTGGCCAGAGGGTCAGTCAGTGCTGGCTGTTTCTGAGGCCCTGCCGTGAAGGGTGATTTTGGGGAGCTGTTCTCTCATGACCCCTGCACTGGCAGCCTCTGCCTGAACGGTGCCCTCCTTCCCCTGTGGAACCTGCAGGCTTTGAGCTGCAACCTCAGGGCCTCGCTGAGCCTTGCTCCCGCCCGCAGCCTCACCTGCAGCTGTCCTCTCTCCACATCCTCACCGCACCTCTGCCACCTCACACGCCCTCCCGATGAGATGGGAGTCCTTTGTGAGCCAACGCATCCACTGGGCAGGGCCTCTGGCTCTGTGTCCAGGGTGCTGTTGGCACAGAGCACGGTGCTCCTGGGAGTGACAGCTGTCCCCCTGCAACCTCTGCCCACCTGGGAAGCATTTGTACCTCAGGAGAAGCCTGATTGGATCCCTTCACGTTAGAAAAGAGCAGACTTGAGGCATTCAGAACGAGTTGGCCCCGTGGACCTGTGTGAACAAAGTGCTTTAAGAACCAACACATTGGCTTCCCCATTATACATGATGAACAGCTGTGGTTACCTTAACCAACCAGCCCTCTCTCTACCCTGAGGCCTCTGTCTCTGTATTTTGAGAGGGTTGGGGATACTGAGTGATGCTTTGATTGTGTCCCCTTGATGACAGACTCCGTGAGGGTCTCCTAGCTGTGTCTGTGTCCACAGAGCACACGGCTGGGGCTCAGCCTGGTCACATAGGACAGTGAATCACAATCATGCTGTTTTAAGGACTGTTTACTGTACAGTAGATGCTAACTGAAAGACTCACAGTCATTTTAAAAATAGCCATCTGAAGGAAAGTGCAGTGCAGTGAACTGGCTTTTCTCAAGGGAAAGCCCTGAGAATTTAAAAAAATCTTCCTAAGGACACATTTGCCCTTCTTTAGGTTTTACAGTCCCCTCACAAATTCTTTATTTTGCCCTTCCAGCTTTGTGTTTCAGTTCTAAAAATGAAGAGTAGGCAGCATGGTAACACAAAGGAAAGGGGAAACACGGGCTGCACACCAGGTGCAGGGCACCCTAACGGCTGCTAACCCGAGTGGCTGGCATGGGTGCAGTGATGGTCTGTGGACACACTGGGCAACTCCCAGTGACAGTGTGGCCAGATCTCAAGGGCGGCGAACCTCTGAGCGAGTAACAGGAATGTGCCTCCTGCTTTCTAGGAGCAAGCCATGACGGACTGGGGAGAGAGCCCCTGCATGGAAGGGTGCCTCACCCAGCAGCCACACCCGTCTTCTCATCCAGGGGGGGACACAAAGGCCCGGCTTCCCCAGGGCTCTGGAGGGCTCTGGCTCTGGTTGGTCACAGACATCCAGTGACCTTGGCCATGCACACCAGCTCAGCGAGGACCTCAGGTGTTTTAATTTGTCCCCATGCCCAGAGGCCAAGAGAGGAGAGGAGCCGGGAAGAAGCAGGGCTGCACCAGCACCTGCACCCCAGACCTGGACGGGGACAGGGGAGCAAGCTGGGATGCAGAGGCAGCGTCTGGGCCTTCAACAGTGTGGTCCCCCGTTTCCCACTGGGCTCCTTCACTGCACTCGCTGGGCCTGGGTGGGAGAGGCGCGTCCTGGTTTTTACAGAATCCCATGGTCGCCTCTGCAGTGCCCTGTGCCAGGCCACCACTTTCAGGGGTGCTCATCTTCTGGCCATGGGGACTCAGTACACTCAGGTTCCAAGCACAAGACCTAGCTGTGGGTTACAGCTCCACTTCCCAGCCCCATGATGCAGCTTGACATCTGTTTGCCAGAGTGTTTCACACTTAGCCTAACACCCACTATTAAGTGACAAAACTGTGGCAGCCTGTCAAAGCCAGCTGACTGGCAGCTGCTCCGCTTACAAAAACCATTCAAATATTTGCAGGTTTGGAAGCTTTGTGTAGTGCTGTACCCAATCTCTCAGTGATTTAGCATGTAAAATATAAGTCAAAGTTTTAAATCTGGCTTCCAAAATGTTTCCATTTCCCATACAAAAGGGGAGCACGTTCAGGGTGCTTGCTGGAACGGGTCCAATCCCCGATGGCTCTGTCCCCACCTGCAGATTCCTGAACCAACCCGGGTTCTAAAAAATGTTGAGGACCAGACTCTCTTCCTGTCATCAGCTGAACCAAATCACCTTAAACGCTGGGAGGATTGCTTCTCAAAAGTAGACCGAAATAAAACCAACCCTGAAAAAAGGCATGTACCTGCTTTATTTTCCCCTGGCAGCGGTTCCCAGGTGCCCTAAGGGATAGTGAGTCTTCCCAACGCCTCTGAGCTGTCTGGCGACTTCCCGGGCTAACCACGCAGTTAGGAAACAGTTGCAAACGACTTGGTGTTTCCGTGGACTGAGATCCACTGAGGAAAAGTCACGGGGGCTTTTTGTCCTGGACATTGCAGCCAGAGAAGGACATCCTGGAAACCTCAGCTGTGAGCACTGGCAAAAAATAACTACCACTCATCCGTTCGTCCCAGCGAGAGCTGTGGCTGAGCACCCAGCCCTTAGGGACGGGAGCTCAGGGCCGGCGGCGTGGGACAGCCTCTGGCTGTATCCTTGCTCTTTTGATTGTCTTTTAAATGTTGGGTGGGTAGGGGTCTGCTTGTAATTTCTTTGGGCAAAACGTGGGGTCATCGTTTTCCAAAAAGCAGATACAGTAGTTTGCTTTTCAAACATCCCGGGGGAGTCTCAGAGGGTGGTGATCTTAGGTTAGGGCTCTACCCACATCTGCACACAACTAGGGCAGGAGCAGACGGACAGACTGACAGCCGGCCGAAGCCCGGGCCTCTCTCCCTCCGCCCCCTGAGGAGCGCGCGCCCCGAGCAGGGAAGGTAGGCCGCCGGTTCCGGGGTCCCCGCCTCCGCG